ACACGTAACAGTTTGACCGATAATCCAAAGTGTACTGTGGCGGATGGGGCAGGGGGACCAAACAAAAATTATTTATAGTTGAATTTTTTAACCATCGTCAAGGCCGAGTTCTATTTCCCTACAATCAAACACACGCTTTCGCCGGCAAAATTCTTTTTAAAAAAAACAACAAAGTAAATAGCACGAGAAGCCGCTACATATGAAGTGGGCTTTCATGATGCGCGGTTCTTCTTTGCGGCATTAGTTAGGGACCCGAACGTTTGTGATAATGGTTGAATTTGTATAATCTACTATATTGTATCCTACAATAATAAAAAAGAATATAATACTAGAAACTTCGTTTTTATATACGTTTACTTTTTTTTTTTGCTTTTACAAGAAATAGCATAGTAAACTTTTAAGGCCTATACGTGGAATTATCTCCCCTGAGTAAGTTTTACAATGGGCGATGCTGACGTTCATAGGCGTTTTGTTGTCTCTTTCAAGATTTTTTTCCCGAGCCGACAACCATCCCATCCCTCTTTTTTAGCCTCGCAAGTATCGAGTAGATCAATGTATCGTTTATGAACTACTTCCTAACCGTACGATTCACCACTTCAGCACATTTTGTCAGACACTAACAGCACTAGTCAACAGATATTAATTTACTTGTATAGTGTTAGGCACATCTAATTCACAACACAGGGACCCAGAAGGTAAGATTATTTTTTATAGAAATTAATTAGAACGTTTAGAATTAATTGAACATTATTAATAGTCAATTACTATTTATAAATGACGTCATTGAGGTGGGGGTGCGTGAGAGTCTGGCTTTTTGTTAGTCGTTAAAAAATGTGACGTCATTTGTGGATTTCCCCCCCCCCCCCCTAAATCATATGGTTATCCGACGCGCGAGTGAGCTCGCCACATACAGTTGTACATGTGAAAAACATTTTTCTGTCTATTTTGCATTAATGCATCATTCATCCAATCGCCATGAAAACAAGAGTCGCTTTAAATTTTTTTAAAAAATGTCCATCTGGTACACGAATAAATCAGCGGTTTACTAACACACGAGCTGGCCCCATTAAGTTTTCCAAGTGAGAAGCACGGACTCTCTAAATGTAGTCCAACACACCAAACTGGCGCCGATTTTTATGAGGCTTTCATCAAAACGTTACCAACCGTGTATTTTTAGACGTGTGCCCTGTTTTCCAGAAGTTGAATTAAATATTAACATTGTCGGCAGTTCATGTCTTGGATCTTAGGGCACGGGTTTGTCCACACTACCAACTAAACCCGCTATATATATATATATATATATATATATATATATATATATATATATATATATATATATATATATATATATATATATAGGGGCCCAAAAAAAAATCTGCGGGGGGGCCTTTTTTTTCTAGTTCCGCCACTGGTTCAATAGCACTAATTCTAAATCTTACAACGTATCTTATTTGTATCTCTATATGTATGTTGTGTAATGGGGTTAATATAATAAAGGTGATGACAGGCGGGGGGTGTGGAATAGAACTGTTGATAAAACCGGTAGAGGAAGAAATGACCGGCGGAAAATATCCTGCTGACTGCATTACACTACTCTTTAAGGTTCGTTACATAACTACGGTCTTTATTGTATAACCTGTGTTTCCCTTCCTAAAATATCTAACTAATCTGTATATCGGTTATCTAATAAACACTTCTAAAATCAACTGATCAAGACAGTTAGGTTTTTTCCCGATAAAAATAAAAACACGCTATGTTAATTTATTCATCTATTAACATACTGCATGTGTAGTAAATGCACCTTCGTCATATAAAGTGAAGATGTATAGTATCTGTCCATTGGTCTACAGCTTATATGACCCTCATGACCCCATCCGTCTATCTTTTTCCACTTCCCCTAGACCCCACCTTTTTTCACATGAAGTCGAATATTATAAAAATCCTTCATTAAAATGGTTTTGTTAACCTTTATTAACATGTATGAAACTATTCAAATTCTTTCATGAGAACACTGCTAACCAATTTGTGACCTTTAAAACTCCACCGTATCCCCACACATTATTATAGCTTCACGTCTACCCACCCAAAACATGACGGTACTAAACATTCAAATAATCGTAGCTACGACTATGCACATCGACACAGAAGCACCACGCGTTATCCCCTCCCACTCAATCACTAACACTCCAACCTGTTCGGAACCCTACCCCCCCCCCCCCCAACGACCTCACCATGCCCCCCACCAACCGGAACATCAGCTTTGATTTGTTTGTGTTTTTTATTCCTGTTATATCTAGTATTGTACAGCCATCCGTGACGATAGTTTACAGACGTCAATAAAAAGATCTAGCAGAGCTTGTTATTACTTCCTCTTATTTTTACATAGTTTCAAACCTAAACTATCTGCCACTAATAGCCGTAAATAATTCGACCGGGCTCTACGATAGTAAACAAATCACCAGACTGGTAGGGTGGGAGTGGTAGCGACATGGTCTGTTGGGTATATGCATGGAGAGTGAGAGAGGGGGAGGTTCGGTTTGCGTCTACGTCTTGTCCCGAATGGTCCCCATGAAGAGAATTATATACGTAGATGTTTATTGTACAAAACGGGATAAAATCCATTTAAACCTACTTTATTTTCGACTATTCTACTATATGTTATAATTTTCACCCTCGTTTATTGGTAAAATGTTCTAAACCAGCCTTTGACCAATTTATTTAACCAACATGCTTTAAACCCAATGTATTTTATGTATTTATTTACCTATTCATCTATTTATTATACAATATGAATCACTCTAACAACCTTGCAAGTATCCCCCAAACGGCATGTTATGTTACAGTATTTGTTTTAAAATTATAAAACACGATTACGTTAGGCCCAAAATTAGTTTGGACATTATAGTACCTGGTTTGTTATCTCAGTTGGTTACACAGCTCATTGACATTTTTTTTAAATTACTCAGGAAATAGATAATTTAAAATTATTTGCAGCAGGCTACACAATCTTTTTGTGGGGGATCCTTTTTTTTTCTAGTTCCGCAATGATAATAACACATCAATATATTTTCTTCCAAGAAATATCTAGATCAAACGAACGTATGAATGCCAATTGTAGTACAATATCCTTCACTTACCGAATCAGTTATTCACTGCTAGTCAATAGTACCATCTTCTCTAAAATGTATTACCCTAGTTCCGTAATTACTATCCTCTCCTTTAAATTACAACATTTTACCATTCCTGTCCATCTCCTATTCATAACCCCAAGCTTTACATATCGCTAACCATTTTATACATTTCTCTATGTACTGGTGTCCGTTGAATAATAAAATGGGTCAGTGTCCAATTGCAGTTTTTTGTTGAGTGGGAGTAATTTACAGGGGTAGTTAATCTGAGGAAATGATAGGGAGGGAGGGGGGGGGAATTACTTGAGGATAGTTAAAGAGGGTGGGAAGGCGAGATATGTATTATTCTATCCTCAGGTTTTCCCTGACCCATGAAGATATATTCAAAACATTATTTCTATAGGAGATATTAAAAAATAAATAAGTGTATCTCATCTACAATTCAGAGATCATATAATAATATAAATAATATGATATTTTGCGATCAATTGGACAATACTTTTGTTTACCGAAAGTAAAATACAATGGGTTTTTTTTACCTTTAACAGTTGTATACGTGCAAGTTGTATCAATTAAGATAATGTATTATAGTTTGTCAGATAGTTTGTCAGATAATATTTTATTTTAGTAAAATATAAAAATCACTCAACCAAAAAAGCGAGTTTCATACGTAATAACCCGTGTCATATTAGTTACTACAACGTATTTAATCGCCAATACAAGTACTAAATTTTAAAGTATATACTTTGTTGAAAATCACGTAGAATAAATTATGATCAAATTGAAAAAATGATGTTGAAACGACCCCATGTTTTGGGAAACAGTTATCACATAACGTAAACTAATAAGCTAGAGTGTACATGTATCGAATAAAGTGATTTTTTTTAAGAATAAGAAATTGAGTGATGCCATGTACATTGTGCAGTACAACATTCAGTTTCCATGCATATTTTTTAAGTAGCCATTATTTCCTTACCGAATCTGTCAAGCGAAAAATGACGTCATTTCCGATCCAAAAGTCTCCAGAATTTGAGCCAAATCCGTTTTTATAATCGTTCCAAGTTCTTGTAAAGTTCACATCACCTTTGATACGTCTCTGTAAGAAAAACGGCACCGCTACAATAAAGTCATAGCAAGTTGATATAATTGATTCCAAAGATTAATTATGCTTCAAATTACGCACGAGATAACATTTTAAACGTTTTAAATAATCAAAACGCTTCTCTACGAAATAATAGCATTGTTAAATTACGGTTAAGTGAGTTGATATGATTTATTCCAATGCTTAATTATCTTTGAAATATATTAGGATTCGAGTTATATTATACAACAAACAATTTACATAAAATCAAAGCAGTCGTTACTTTATAAGACCTAATATTCTTCACATGAACTCTCTAAAATATTTCCAATACTTTGTGTATTGGACAGTTGCAACTATCACGAGATAAACTTTGACGTTTGCTTCTGTTCAAACTCGAAACTAAATAAATCCCCAATTTTATACATACAACAGGAAGGTTATTTTTCAAATACATAAACTTAAAAAAAAATGCACTAAACACTATTGTAGTTTATCACATAATCTGATTTTGTCTATTTTATTTTAATATCCAAAATCTTATTCAGATCAACAAAATAAACAAGACTATTAAATTCAGCTTTCCCCCCAAAAAGATGATATATATTAACAATACTGTTGTTGACTGGTCACCTGACTTCGGGTAAACCAATAAGAATATTAATCTGCAGTTTACCAGAACTATAAAACAACTAGAGCTAATATCTTTTGATGTAGATAAAACATTTTGGAGTCATCGTAATTTCAAATAGATAAAATATATTATACAAACACTGCGTACGTAGTTCAACTACTACGTTATTTTTTCTTTAATGTGTAGCTAAGTGTCTATCATTATGTATCATACATCTATTTTCAATATAATAAACTGATCAACACAGTTAGATAATATATCGGAAAAATGGTGAATTGCTAAGAAAAATGACAAACAAACCTGAATAATAATCCAACCTCCACCGTCAGTCTTGTTATCACACAATGTTCTGCGGACATCTACTCCAACCTTTGTCATGTCCGTTAAAACACGATCGTTCACGATTGCACATTTTAACTGGAATCAAATTCATTTCCAATATTTTTATTTATTAGTATTAGTTGAAACGGAATAAAATTAAAATATATACGTATATTCAGACAGCTAAACATTTCTCTTTTCTTTATAAATAATTATATTGTATTCACTACATCAACATTATCGCCACATACCACACAACTACGAAGAATACATACATACAAATGTATGTATGTATTTATATACGTATATATATTTGTGCGTGTTTGTATATGTAAAAGTATAAATATATTCGCAGAACTAGTGATAGTAAGTGTTAAAGCTATTTCACAAAGATAGCCAATTTAATATATCGTTTATTTTCTAAACATTGTCGAGACAAGGAAATAATTTCTGTAGATGTGCGCTCTGGTACAGCAGCAGCAGAAGTGAAATGTGGTGATGTTATGTATTTTAAAAAACATTCGAATAAATCATACTTTTATAAATATGTATTGATTATGCAATTTTCATTTTAAAATAAACAATAACCCGCTAACATTTGTCAGAAGATTATCAGAATATTAAAATTATTTAAAAACATTTTTGTTTTTCTACTTTTGACGAAACTAAGTAAGGTATTAATGTAAGGCTAATTCGAAAACATACCACGCCTAAGTAAAAAATTTAACTTTTAACTACTTGGGAGCATTGACAAATCTTATGGCGGAACTGGAAAATTTCAAATCGGGACATAGCAGATTTTGATGCTATACAAATTATATTTAACTTACGTATTCGCTTTCGTTGAGCATACGGCCATTAAATCCATGAATTCTACTGACTAGAAAACTAATTAGATCTGATTTAGTAATCAGGTTTTGAATGGTGTTATTCATCTTCTCCGTGTGGGCGTGTATATCAATGTCTGTATTGTTTAGTAGTGAAACAGCTGTTTTTAAATCCTTCAGTGTCTTTGACTGTGTCTCTGATAGGTTTTTGTAGCTTTCCCACAATTGTTTAATGCTTATATTTTGACGTTCCAATATCGTTGTGCTATTTTTTAACATTTCGTTAGTTAAATTTAGTAAATCTTTTTTGAAATCTTGCATGGTTTTCGTTAAAATTTCACTTTTATTTAACCTTTGAGACAAAGTTTGAACATCGAGTGATACATTAACCACACTATTATTCAGTTTATCCAGTTGTTTTTGTAAAACAATGTATAGATTTGTTACATTTTGTACCGACCTATTTTGTTTTTCAAGTGTGTTATTGTTCGTTTGTATCTGTTGAATTGTCTTTAGATAGCTTTCAGTGAAGTTGTATTTAAAATGCGTGAGCTCTTGATTTGTGTTATCTAAGGTGTTCAATCTGTTATAAACGTTGTTCATTTGATTTTCAAGTCTCTGAATTGTAGATCCTTGGGCAGATAACAAGCTATTGAATCTACTTTCCATGACATTGGTAAGGTTAACTAAAGTTTCATCACTCTTCTCCTTTGTTAATTCTGTTTTGTGATAACTAAGGTTAGAACGTTTGTCATCTGTTAAAAACTGTAAATTCATCTTCAAGTCAGCTCTGTTTAACTTATCAGAATATTTAAATGTTTTTAGAAACTCTGACATTCTATCAATTGTTTTATCAAACTCTGGAGTTTTAGCCTCTAAGGTCATCAACATTAGTGGCTTAAAATTGTCATGGTCAACAGGCTTGGTTTTATTTTCTTTCATCTCAGTGAGACCCCTTCTATTTGTGTAATACACATCACATCCAAACACTGTACTAAAACAATCGGAAGGTTTTGTAAATGATACTGTCAATTCTCCAAACACTTTTGAAAACTTTCCATCAACTTTTGATCCAGCTACTTTATAATCTCGAACTCTTGAATCTGATTCTGATACAGACGCCAACACAATTTTCCCCTCTATTTCACTGATGCTATAGACTGACATGTTGACAAGAGCTGAGATTTCATTATCTTCTCTTGTGTTCTCCACACAATGTAACTTGCCACAGAATAAATCTTTACCCTCCATATAATATTCTCTTTCTAGTGAAATGTCAAGTCCTGAAATATATTAAAATAAACCAATGAAATTTGGAAAATTAAATTAATCAAGAAATACTTTCTTTTAATACACCTCAAGCACAACAGCATTCGATTAATCATTTCTTATTCAATTTCTTCATTGTAAATTATTTCCAAAGAAATCTATTTATTAATTGCAAAAAAAAAATATATTTAAAACATAAAACTGAAATTGTGTACAACAAGTTGTATTATTGTAATAATCGGTAAATTATTATTCAATATGTGTTAGTTTATTTAAATTACTTGGAAAGAGCCAATAATTGAAAACAGGTAGTTTTTTTTATAGTTGTTTGTTTTAACACACTACTTACAAAATAACATATACACAACTAAATACAAAACTAGGTTTAAGCATTCACTGGTAGAATTTAAAAAATAATAATTTAAACAAAATATGTTACGTATTTTAACGTTTAAATATAGTTTCTAAAACGGAAAGAAAACGGCAGCCCCAGAGGCGTAGCGACCCTTACCGGCGCCCGGGGACATACTTTCAATTTGGCGCCCCCCTCGGGAGCAAATTTTCGATTTGCACCCCCCCCCCCCTCAAACTTTCGATTTGCACCCCCCCTCGAACTTTTCATTTGCACCCACCCCCTCAAACTTTCAATTTGGCGCCCCCCCCTAAGGT